AGTGCTTTTCTCCTGAACAAGAACATTAAAGAAGAAGAAGCTTTTCTGGAGTTAAATTAAAAAATAAATTTCAAATGATCACGACATTATATGTGAAATTAACGGAAAAGAAAAATACTGCAAGGAGTGAATCACACCTTATGCATACTGTATGTGTGAGGAATAATCAGTTCGAACATTTAAGCTCTGATAAAAGATTAGATAGTCAAGGCTGCAAGTCTCAGGTTCTGAGAGGTTAGATTTGGGAAATTAAAGAAACGCAAGAAGTTCCTGTCAATACTTGGAATTACTCTAGTCCTGTACTCGCAATATTATAGATGGAGTTATAACAATATTTACTAAGTGTTTATGGTGACCTTTTAGACAACTGTAAACATGGGTTTACCAACGCATGAACGAACAGAGAAAAAAACTGTGGCCTTGAACGATTTCAATTTGTACTGACAGCCGCACGATTTTTTTTAGCGAAAAGACATGAACGTCATATTTCTCGATGATTTTATGTTGTAACGTCAAACTCCCCGAAATCCATCAATATCATACATTACACTCACGTGAGTGTAATGTTAGTCATTTTTAATGGCACCTCCTCTTGAGTTTTGCTCGAGGCTTTCTTTGTTCATTGATAACTTGTATACATCCTGATGGAAGTGTTTAGTATTTTATAGTTTAAAAAATCAGGAGACGAGAGAAATTATTTTTTCAATTTTATCGCGTTTTTGCAATATAAAAAGAAGACGGGTATATGCACCAGTTTTCCGTTAATTTATGAATACCTTACACAAATTGAATGAAAAAGCGAGCACAAAGCTTGGATATCTAAATTTAAGCCCATCTGTTTTCAATTTCTAAACGTACATATAGTTTCAGCGAATGCAATAACACTTTTTTTATTTTTATTGAATGTTGATTCATATCAAAAGATTAAAGATCACTGCAGTACTCACTGCAGTGAGTGACAGAGCCGCCATTTTCTCGTCCGTCAGTGAAGTCACGGACAGATGGACGGACGGATATGACGAGTAAAAATTTCAGTAACAAGCTAATCATCTCTTCTTATCACTTTCTTATGTTGGTAAGAAATCTTGCCTCCGTAACTCCGTCACGTTGCCTCCGTCACTTGCTGGGCCGCAGGAGAAGAGTGCACAACCCTTCAACCCATTAGTGAGTTTCAACCATTTACAACGTTAATTTTCTTGTAAAATATCGGAGGGAAGCTGAATCAAATATTCAGAACGTTAGATCAAAATTCATAGTTAGTTAATTTGTTTCTCATCGATATAGAAAATTTGAAATTTTGACATATGAAATCTTGAAGTGTTAAGTTACGTTCTTGATTACCTTATCTTGTTAGGCGACAAATTTGCTTGTAATCCTCTCTGCAATGTGCTTCATAAATGATACATTTTTGCTTGGATTTCTTATGGTGTAGAATTAAATTAGCAGACGTAATGACAATGTTCTCAAATTATTCTTGGTGCAATTCAATATTTCTAAATTATGACAGAATTTTTTCATCGTTCCTAATGAACAACTTATGAATTTAATTTGATGCAGGAAATTTCATTTTAAGGTATAATCTAATTAAAAATCTTTATAAATGAAGTATCATAAATGTCTCTGTTTTCCTTAGGTGAATAGAAATTCCAGACTTATTTTTTTATCAATGTGTACCTTAAATCAACGAATCTTCGATATTACTCACATTTTCACCTTTTTCATCGCACGATTTCCATTTCAATCGGACTAAACTCATTTGTTATTTCCCATTATGGACGATTCAAACAAACTTAATTATTGTATTGGGGAAGTTAACCAAACATTACGTCAATATAAAATTGTCACTCATGTGATGAGTCATTCTGCTCACTTTAACTATTATTATAGCGATAACATGCTGCTGATTTTTCTTTCATTTTCGTGCAGAACAAGATGGATTTTGACAATAAGATTGAGGTGGGGATATCTAAGTTGTCCAAAAAGGACGCTATCGTCTACATGAATACCATTACCGTCACGCAGCTCGTGCCCAACATCTTACGGCACGTCGTTGCGTGGGCGTCGCGTGATAAAGAAGACACAGAAACTTACGAACAATATATACAGAGGAAACTTAACAGGCCACTCACCAAGAATGATTGGAAGCGCCTGATCAACAACAAAGACATGAAGAAAGTGCTAGAAGAAAGCACCAATTCAGCTGACTTCGATGTGACGCTGCTATTCAGTCTTATATGTGCCTTTCATGAAATTTCACCGCGGAAGAATAGTAAGGAGGAGCAGGAAGCTTTCGCTTCGTTCAAACGAATTAAAGTACTCAGAAATGAGGTAATGCACAATACCAGTGACCTAGAAGACCAAGGAAAAGTTGAAGAAATTAAATCAGCTCTTATTCATTTGGTAACTAAATCCTCACTCACTTACAAGGTTTCTGAATCAGACACAACTAAGGTTCTTGAAGAAATCATAAAGAGAATCGATCAGATCGTCACAAAGAAAGTCAAGCCACAAGTCGAAGAAAATCAGGTCCCGAAAGAAAAGAAAGAAAAGTTAGGCTCCGATGATTGATTGCTCCGACAGAACAGCTATATATATACTAGCCTGGAGGACGTCGTGGAGCACTGTCTTCGTAAACTGTGTCTCGAACCAGGAGCTTCAGAGATTGTTCAGAAAATCCTAAACCTAAAGACGTTGTTCCTCGTTCATGGATCAGATGACTTGAGCAGGGACCTGTCTCGTGTACTAGAAGACTTACTTAGGAAAGTCCGGAGGACGGAGTGCAAAGTTCTCATATCAACCATTTCACAAAAATTGCCGGAACTTTCAACTCTCATCAAAAAGTTAGGCCTGAATACAGCTGGTTTCAGAATGAAGCCTATCGAAAGCCTGAATGATCAAAAAAATTTTATGCGGAACTACAGTAGAGCTCTTACTGAGGACAAAAAAGTAGAATTGCTCGAAAAGTTCGATGAATTGAATGAGAACGTGCGAGATTGTTTCCAATCGCCTGCGAGTTTGCAGTATCTGAGCCAAGAACTTCTGAAGCATAAACCCACATTAAGTACAACGACGCAAGTAACAGAAACTTCACCTTTTCTGTATTTATTATATAGAAAATTACTGGAATGCAAGTTGCAGCGACAGGGAATATTCAATTGCAAGGGGCTGAGTGATGATTTGCTCGTGGTCATCGGAGAGTTTGCATTGCAAAAAATTCATGGTGAATTGAAGACCATTTCGGAAGAACAGCTGTCTCGGCTGGAACGCCTTTGCCACAGGGAGTTGAAGAGCTATGAAGATGCAGGAAGTGCAAGCGCTGACCTGGCTGCTGAAATCGTTCTGAGACAAAAAGGAAATACCCACTCTTTTCAACATGAGAGCGTCCAAGAATACTTCGCAGCGAAATACATAGTGCGTCGCCTGTATGACACGCGTGACACCTTGGAATCTATCATGATGCGGCGACCGAATCCCAAAAGAAGGTAAATCAAAACTTGTTAACAACCTTCTACCTAAGTCTTCAACGCAGCATGATTTGTTAGCATAAATTCGATACCATTTAACATGGCGGTGAGAAAATTCTTTCAATATATAATTTTGTAAGTATTCGGTACCATATACTAGTATATGTATTCTCACTGTCTGGAAATAATAGATAAAGTTAAATAACTGATGAACTCAATTTTTCGGCAATACAACTTTGAAAAGCGACCATTTTTTTTGGTAGTTTAGATAGCTAATGACGAAATGACTTATTCGTGTTCCTACGTTATCAATTGGTTCATTCAAATAACGAACTAGGCTCTCGATATTTAAGTTCAATTCATGTTCTATAGAGAACTTATATGACTATAAGTTGTACCATGAATAAGAGGATTAAATTGATCATTTCAAACTCCGATGAAGAAAGAGAGAAAAAGACGTTTTTCTCCGTTTCTTTTACGGAGAATAAGAAAACACTCTTCGAATACACAACAAATTATATCGATGTCATATGAAATTTAATGTATGTGGAAGAAACTTGGCAACAAAAGCTCTCGGTACAGCTCACGCTAAGGCAAAGTTTCACAGCTTCTAGAAACTTAATTGACATGAATTGATTTCCACTAGAATATACCCGTCTATACAGGAAAATTATTAAATTACTTACGGCTAAGCCGGTCGTTGCATTGAATTGGTACATGATTTCAACGCAGTTTTTCCTAAGCCCGAATTTTACTTGAGAATTTTAGGAAATTTATCTAAACTTTATTTAAATCCAGTCAGCCTGCCATCCAAAATCCCATCATCTCGTCTCCCGCAATCGCGAAACCTGTTTAACGGATCCTGTGATCATAAATCGTGTAAAACGACCAGTTTCAACCCTCATTTATCGTGGAACTCACGTTGAACTACGAGCTTGAAAGTCGAAGTGAACTTCAACTTAAACGAGTTGAATAAAACTTGCACAAGCCAAGTTGAAAATCACACTTTAATTTTTTCGGTTTAGTTCCCAGTCAGAAATCGCCGCAGTCTGGAAGCCAGCCGCGGGTGAACTTGCCTGCGCCAACGCTCGCCCCAGCGCAACGCCAGGGTAGTCAACAGCGCAGGAATGTCCACAGCAGCGCAATATTGTGGCAGCGCTTCTCGGCCTGGAAAGGGCCTGCTGCCGCAGTCAGTCTGTCCTACCGCGAGCGAGCAGGCCGGCAGGCACTGCCAGCTTCCGCGCTATCGCGAAGGTGGTTGCCGCGATTGGCGGGACCGTTGCGCAAAATTCCCGCAGGCCAGAGGTGGCCGAACGTGAATTTCGAGCCAAAAAAAATCCCTACGCCCTCCACTATATATATAGCTCCCCTACTTTGTGGAGCTATATATAATAATTGTGGAGGGCATGGGGAATTGTGTAACAACGAACACATACAAAATTATAAAGCGTATTTTAATGCAGTCATTCTGAGATATGAAGTAGGAACAAGTATAACAAATTATGACAGAAATAAAAAGATTTACATGTTCGAGCCGTTTATTAGAACCTCAAGTGCATGTAAACATTCAAACTACAAAACATTTTTGGAGTAAAACGTAAAGCATTACACATGGAGTTTAAGCATCGACAAACATAAATTAAGAAATCTATTCCAAAACTGGTATAACTATATTTTAGAACAATACACGATTACGTACGATAATGTAGCCCCTTCATTATTTTCAAAATATACATACAAGCTTATTCCCGGTTTTTACAACGGCGTCAGCTAAAGGATAACATCATCTCGTATAAATTGTAAATGATAAGCACCACAATACTTGAGAATCTAACTTAGTAATCAGTAGTCAAATACGTGAAGTGGAACTCTAAACTTGTTTGAAATTTCTAAAATGAGTACTTCAGTATTCAATGCATGAAACTCATCATCTCAGAACGGAAATTGATAATAGTTGAAAAGTTAATTTCAAGGGAAAATAGTATACAAAATCACCATACTAAAAGCAACTGCACGCATGACACACCATGATAACTTGGAATGTTTTCTGAGTGGGTCGGTGATGCGTTGTGGCTGTTTCCGATAATCCAGCAAGTTTCACTGAACAAGCTCTGGTTCTAAGCGGGTAGTTTTCGCGGCGGCTTTCCACTGCTGAGGTAAACGTCGACACAGCTGGACATGTAGACTAGGCACAGCAGTTGGCTAGACTCCCCTGAAGAATGAAAGTGTATCAGCTTGTTTCCCGGATAGAAATTAAGTAAGAAAACACTTCTATGCAAATAGATTTTTTTTCTTTGAATACATTTGGTACGTGAAGGAAATTCATACTTCAAATTTATGTAAGAACTTCGATCAAAAAGTTCAAATAATACTAATAGAAAAAAACTTCCAGTAATGCCGGTTATAAATTGACAGAAATATCTCGGCATTTGCCCTAAAAAATATTCCTATTGTATCTTTTGTACAACTTGTGCCTGGCAAAATGCTACCTGCGATGCATCGTTCTCTGACATCTGTATAGTTAGTGCCTTGAAGATAGCGTCGTCTTTGAACATGTACGAGCAAGCACCTTAGTTAGGTCGTGTGACAATGGGAGTATGGGACAGCATCCGCCATGCTGCACGCAGCGCAACGAGGAAAAAGTCCCTTCATCATGCAAACTTAGGCGTCCATTTGATTTCTCACCTTTATTAACAATCATCGTGTGGTGCAATAAGCAGAAATTTGACAGCATATCAGGTCCCTCGTGCACCCGATATCGATGCAGTCAATGCCGTGAAACTTGAGAGACTGTTCACCCGATTCCTCTCGGGCCTCGACTGCTTCGCGGGCAAAGTTATAGTCGGGTTTAGCTGCATTCAACATTTGTGATTTGCCTGCAACAAAATGGATTTCATCAGTTTTGATCAGTGAACCTGTGACCAGTAATACGAGCTTACAGACGTGCTAAGTTTAACTGACTCTGTCATCTCGATTAGTTTCAAAATATCAGCTAATTTAATATAGAAAAAAGTAGGCTTCCCGAAATTTTTACGGTGGCACATTTATACATAACTCAGAGACAAAAAGTTCATTTCAGATCATAATCATAACGTTTAACTAGAATTGAGTGGATTGACAACGGATTCAATAGGCAAGCGTGCCTTTCGATAGCAATACAGTAAGTTGGCTGGAGATGAATCCTTGAACGAGAAGCAATTTGTTTCATGACTTGCAAAGTTGCAGTAACCAAAATTTAGCCTTGGTAGTTGCGCATTAGATCTTAAACCGTATGAAAATGTAAATACATTAAATTTTGACGTTTCATCTGTTCCTTACCTCCAATATTTATCCAAAATTAACCGAATTCGGGTCGTGTTCACTGCACCACACGTACATTCTCTGTACTTCCCGGCCACACCACTGTATAGAGCGGAGACTAGTTAGACTACTGCGCATGCGCTGGCGGCCGCTGCAGCGTTCGCTGTCGCGCATGCGCAGTAGCCTGGCAGTTACCGTTTGCGTTCATTTAGTATTTCTATTATTTCGTAAATTTATATTATATTTACTTTCAGATTATATACCGATTTCGCGTTTTTCATCGAATTTATGGCAATAAACTGAACACACACAATACTGGATGGAACTAGTTCCACAAATACTGGCGACATGGATTTGCTGTAGTAAAGAATAGAACTGTCGAAAAAAATGTAGAAAATAAAAAATCATGTAAACCTCATAATTTTAGAGAAATTAAATAAGTGAATAATTCAATCAGTTTCTTCCGGTAAAAGCTCCATATTGAGATTCATGCCTAGAAGGTTCTTTCAATATTCCTCCGCCTTCCCCACCCTTCACCCCCTTCCTCTCCCTGCCTCCTCAAAGCTTGAACCGTTACCGCCGGCATATTAGACGTAGGCCGCGGTAGAGCTGCGGCAAGTTGCCTGCCGCAGCTTTTGCCGACCTAGGCCTCCCGCTGTTCGTGGCAGACGAGGCCATATCGTCGCTAGACTGCTTGGGCGCGAGGTGAAGTCGGCAACAACGGCCTAGATTTGCGCGTTTGCGAACGTGTCTGCGGCGAACGGCCGCAATGACTGCGAGAATTTCGAACTGGGTTATTATAAAAATTAATTATAGTTAATTTTTTAATAATCACACTTTCCCACCTCCCCGTTTTGCGTGGCGGTACCATTCCAGCACTAAAAATAAAATTTCAAATCTAGCTAAAATCCCGACATGACGGCTATTGCAGCAGCGTGCCCAAACATCCATTATCTATGGCCAGTTTATGGCTTCAAACACAGACGGACTCAAACGCAAACTCACGTATTTTCTTTACATTAGAAGATAAGTAATATTGTAACCAAGAGAATGTTTCCGCGGCTTAACCTCTGCTTCAATTACGAACCTGATAAAAAAATTCAAACTAAAAATTAGAGGGAAGAGACAGTTGCTATCGTGATGAGAACACGTGGATATCTAGTTGTAAATATTTTCAGGCGTTATCTTGATAACCAAGTTTATCCAAAAGAGATTTATTCAAAATGACTAATTCAAATATAAAAATAAAGTAACGTTAATTTTCATTATAAAATATGGTCACTAAATTACCCTTGTAAAGGGTTTTGAGCTTCCGTATTTTCCGCTTAAAGTTGGTTGACAACGGCAGTGGATAATCGACGTATCTTCCTGAAACAGGAAGTGCATAATATAAAAAATCAGAAAATGCATTGAAAGCAATTAGTGACGAATGAAAACCTAATTCTGTTTCAAATTTATTTGATTTTTCATAAGCAACATATACCAAAAAATCAAAAACCAACCATCTAACGATCCCACTCCTAACAACAGCGTGATCCTAAGCACTAACTAACATGAAAGAAATCTTCCTTAAGCCAGTAATAAAGGAAATTTGTCGTGAAACACCTCCATGAAAGATTTCAGTCTTACAATTTTTTCTTTCGACTTCTACTCATCGACGAAGTCAATTTATAAAAGGACGAGATAAAACCGCTAAAAGTGTCAATTTATCCATACTAAAACATGTGGATGCAAGTAAAACCCATTTGCAAACGCAGTTACTAATAGCATTTAATGTATACCCCATTTTGACGCAATCACGGATTACGAGTACCTGAGTGGGATACATAGCCTTCCAATTCTTGGCCAATTTGCTTTCTCTATTTTTACAATTAAGTTCATTGCTTTAAATAAATTCATTAAATTTACATTCTCTACTCTAATGATATTATTTATATAACTTACGTCAGAATTTAGTTCCAGCATACAAACCAAAATTTCTAATTCTTGTAGGATGCTCGATGTTCTAGTATGGGTGATCAAGGAGTTGTCTTCTGAGGAACACAATACTCTCCTCGACTCACGCTGGGATGAACTGCGCCAAGCCATGCAGAGGGCGGGTGGTGGCTTTGACACGTGGACCGAAGTACTGAAGGGCTGCGGGGACAACATTTGGACCATGCTGCAGCACCGCCTGCTGACTGGGGTTCAATCATTGAAAAATTCACGGGAAAAATTGAGCTAGACTTTTCTCGAGAAATAAACTCTCCGTGAGATGCTTATCTATCACATTTCAAGAAAGCGAAGTAAGTTGTATCATTTTTAATTATATCCGATTAAATTTAGCAGAATCTCAATTTTAGTGACTAATATAGTTTGATTTCATACTCAGTAATAGTCATGACCAAAACAGTGGTCAAGATAATTCTATGGTAAATTCATCACACCAAAAATTTCTGATGGCAAACTTAGTAAACTTTTCATATATTATATATGATATCATATCATTCATGGCATTCGCAAAGTGAACTCTAATTTTATCTGCATTGTTTTGATGGTGTCAGGTGACATATTTCAACGGTTGCATCGAGGAAAAGGAAAATATGGATATTTTGAAGACTGTGGCCGCCCCAACGTGCAAACTGAAGATCAGGCTTAAGGCTCACGAGCCTGTTGATCAGCTGAATATATAAATTCAGCCATACTGACAATGATGCAGGTCATAGCTACTTCTGAAAGAATTTTTACTGAAAATAATTGCGTGTCGCGTGTGAGGTAATTTATATCTTGAATGTACGAAAACTTTTTATTCTTGGCTCCTTGGAATCGTGAAATTAAAATTCCATTGAAAAGTAAATGATTGGTTTCTGTAATTTTATTCAGGTAAATTAATTAAAACTTTCCATTTAATTTAATTACATATTCTAGAAATTTTGAATTTATTCTTTCAGCTTATTTGTTTAATTTTGTATAGTGCTGTGCATATTACATATAATTTCAAACAGGGAGTTCAATTGTTGCGCTTTAAAAAAAAATTATTATACGGAGTTGAAAAGTAATAGAAATTTCACATATGAAAACTTGCAGTGAATTCAATTTTTTATGCAAGTTTTACTGATTAGGTGATTTATTATGATTATATAAACAATTGAAAACTCTCATTCGTACATTTTACTACATGTGTAATGTGCTTGATTTTATAATGATTGGAACTTAATCAATGTGCGACCCAGAAACCTCAATGTTCATTCTTGTTTTGATTTAAGACATCTTTTATTTAGCCGTTTGGTAAAATAATGCTTAAAAGACACTTATATAACTAGCTATATGGCAATGCGAACGGATTTCATTTGCGCTTTCACCTCCAGGCGGAGCGATTATTCTAATGCATTAGTCATTGACAATATAATATATTTGCATACAACAATTCTGTGTTCGTCTGAACCCGATCCAGTATAAAGCAACAATACATACACAAGTTTTGAACAGTTTTTAAGATCACTTGCTTTTGCACCTCACACTAGCTAATCCGCCAAATCCTCAATCCTTTAAAGTAAACTGAGCATTAACACGGCAGGAGGACCGCTGATGTACAGGACAATTTACGCACGACGTTGAACTGTTATCTTATTGATGGATGATTATCTGGATTCAACGTGATCCTCACTCAGTTCTTTTTAGTAAACAAAGCTGCAACCTTCGATTGCTCTGCTACATAACTACAGGATAATAAACACAATTCTTATCTGAACCTACTGTAATAACTTCTAAATGAATTCCAAATGTTTCGCATCATAATTTCTTAGAGATTGAATGGTTACTGGTCGAATAATTGAATTTCGAATTCTCAAGTCGATAATGAAGACTATATGCTAGACCTGAACCGATGCTAAATGCTAGAATATATGATCATATGCCAGATAAAAGCCTTGGCTCCGGCATATATACACTTGCCTCATGCCGCAGAATTACATTTAAAACGTCGCGCTATTAACTGACCTACACAAATAATATGACTTATACAATCTTATAAAATATTTTATTTACTGGGAATAGTGAACATGGCGAATAATTAGTCAGGAAACCAAATTATGAAGGCGCTTTGAGAAATCCAGCACTGAAAATGAATCGGCAAGCAGCTATATAACATAACATGCTCCCTTGCATATTATCCTATAGAAACTTCAGTAAGCCAATAATTTGGTTTACCTATTTTAAAATTGTGATAATTAACACTCAGTCTTATTCTTGCAATCAGCGTAGTGGAATTTGAACAATAACATGAGTTGCGATATCAGGACGAACGAATGCTTACTAGTCAGAATGACAGCTTATCTCAAGCGTACCTGAAGTTCAGTAAAGTAGAAGGAACTGATAGAAGCGATTAGTTTCCGATATTGTGATGCGCTACAAGATTAAGAGGAGTATCTTTACAATGGCTACCGCAGCGACCTAAATTACAGCATTATTTTTTTCTCTACAATCAATTAAGAGTTCCTAATTACCTGCATCGCGTCATCATCTATATTAAGAAATTGATATATGAAGCGATCGCATTTTCAATATGAAAATATCATTATGAACTGTTCATTATGGTGTTCGTTAAGGCAGTGTTTTATCGAACGAAGGCTGAGGTAACAGATCTTTAATATTATCTCGTGTGGCACATTATAAAAAATGTTGCAGTATATAGCGCTGGTAAATAAAATTCGAGATTTATGTGACAGTCTGTGCTAAAACAGTTATTAGAAGTTGACATTTCAATGATTAATAAAATCCACACTCATTTTGTAATTTCATGATAGTTATAATATATTTGATGATAACGAATGACTCATCAATCAAACACTGGCACATCTAAAGACATAAACCGCAGTACGACTAATCACAATATGAAGCGTTATATCTTATCAGTGTTTTTAACGAGAAAATGTACGTCTTAAATCTTCGAAAAGATAATGTCAGAATGAACACTATTGACTTTTATAGTCGATTTTACTGCACACGCACTTCCTTTTGTTAGAGACGGGTTGGACCTGCAATGCAGCTTATCAAAGTGAAGAATAATCCTCGTATCGTAGAAGTGAGAATGTTTTTGCCAGAATAGCAGAATAATTCGAATAATTCAGTTGACAGA